CATTTACATGTCAAAGGCACAGAAAGAGAAATGTTAATTCCTCCTTTATCAACTTTTTACAAAACCAATCCATCTTGGCTATTTTCAGGAACTTCTTTTTCTAGTTCCCAAATATCCACTAGGCAATAATACATATATATCATTCACTCACATCTGCATGCCTCACTTTCAGCAAAACCAGGAAGAGAGAACAGTACTCAAGTACTGAGACATACACACACACCCCCACAAAGATAAAAAACCAGTTGCAAAAGGCCCACTTTGATGTAATAGCAGAGCAATTAGGGGCCATTGTTCTCCAGATCTCAGGGAGTGCTGACCCCACACAATGTTACAATAAAATTATAATTTTCTTATAAGCAAAACTTAACAAATGGGACCTAATTAAATTTATAACCTTTAGCACAGCAGAGGAAACCATAAGCAAATCAAAATGACAACCTGTGGAATGGGAGAAAATATTCTCAAATGATACAACTGACAAAGGTTTAATTTCAAGAATATATAAACAGCTCATACAACCTAATAACAAATAAACAAGCAACCCGATCCAAAAATGGGCAGAAGACCTGAATAAACAATTCTCCAGTGAAGACATACAAATGGCCAATAGACACATGAACAAATTCTCAATATTACTAATTATCAGAGACATGCAAATCAAAACTGCAAGGAGGTATCACCTCACACCAGTCACAATGGCCATTATGAAAAAGTCCACGAACCATAAATGCTGGAGAGGATGTGGAGAAAAAGGAACCCTCCTACACTGTTGGTGGCAATGTAGTTTGGTGCAGCCCTCATGGAAAAACAGTATGCAGATTCCTCAAAAGACTGAAAACAGACTTACTATTTGATCCAACAATTCCACTCCTGAGCATATATCCAGAGGAATCCCTAATTCAAAAAGATACATGCATGTCAACGTGCATAGCAGCACTATTTACAATAGCCAAGACATGAAAACAACCTAAATGTCCAACAGATGACTAGATAAAGAAGCTGTGGTATATTTATACAACGGAATACTATTCAGCCATAAAAATTAATAAAATAATGCCATTTGCAGCAACATGGATGGACCCGGAGACTGTCATTTTAAGTGAAGTAAGCCATAAAGAGAAAGAAAAATACCATATGATGTCACTCATATGTGAAATCTAAGAAAAGAAAAAAGAGGACACTAATGATCTACAAAACAGACTTGCAGACATAGTAAACAATCTTATGGTTACTGGCAGAAAGGGGGTGCATACTGATAAATTTGGGAGTTTGAGATTTGCAAATGTTAGCCATATATATAAAAACATTAAAAAAACAAATTTCTTCTATATAGCACAGGGAACTATATTTAATATCTTGTAATAACCTTTAATGAAAAAGAGTATGAAAACAAATATATGTATGTATGTGCATGACTGGGACATTTTGTGTACACCAGATATTGACACATTTTAACTGACTATACTTCAATAAAACAAAAAAGGAAAAAATATATAATTTTCTCTCATTTATGGGAGTATAGCTGAAGATCTACCAGTTTTTCAAAAGATGGAAAGTGTAAGATAGAACAGAGCCCTTACCATCTATACTTAATTATTCATGACCAGTGTTATCAAACATCAAGCAATCAGCAATTGGAACAGTCTCTCAGGGTCACAGTTTCCCTACCCTAAAAGGGAGATTTCCAACTGTGAACAAAAGATACTGCAAGCCATATCAGTAAACAAAGAACGCTGCATCCATCCAGTCATCAGCATTTATTGCCAGCTCAGGATGTGCAGATAAGCAGGCAGCCCAGCCTCTGTAGCCACCCCTAATGGTGCATCCTGAGAGTACACAGTATGTGAAAGGACAGGACACTGGCCCTGGATAGCTAGGTGCTTGTCAAAGGAATGATTTCAATGAGCCCAGATATTTGCTCCCATACATAGAAAAGTGCTAAATTCTTTAACTTGAGGTGTCTGGTTTTCTTTAGTTAACAGTAATCTTTTAATGTTTTGACTACCTGGTCTTTGTTGTAAAACCCCTATATATCCTGTCTCCTCTCCTACCTCATCGGAGCAGTCCCTCAGAGCGATCTGGGAGGCTGTCATCCCAGGCTCGAAGGGGTTTGAGTGCTCAGAAATGTCCCCAAATAAAACATAACTCTCAACTTTAAGGTTGTGCATTTTATTTCAGTCGACACAGCATTGCGTTGCAGCCAATGCAATAGGGAAGGATACCCTGGTGTCATCACAGGTGAGCCACGTTACTCACCGAAGACATCTCAACAGGCCAGTGCAAGTACTGACATGCACACATAAACAACAAACAGTCCTGAAAGGGAGTGGGACCCTGCGTGCCCCCCACCCCAACCTCTGCCTCTTGTTTAGAGAACAGCTGAAGTCTCCTAGGCTTCCCTGAATCACAGAAGAACAGGTTCAGCAGTTGATTAGGACAAGCCTGCAGGCACTAGGGGATGGTAAGGACTCTGACCACCTATCTCAATGATTTACTGAGACGACTCCTTCATTTCCCTATAAAACTTTCATGGCTGAATAGAATCTTTGGAGATTTTGGGGGAGAAGGAAGGAATGCTGGGTGCACTAGATTGCAGACATTCTGACTGAAAGCAACTTTCCTTTTTGTTACCAAAGCTGTCTCCCCCAGGATCATACCCCTGCCCCTCCCTCAAACAGAAACCAATTACTCTTATCGAAGTCTCAGGAGGCAGCTGCAGAGAAGCAGCAAGAGCTGGTTAGAACCCCATGGAGTCCAAGATGGTGGAGGAGTTGACTTCCAGTGGACCTTGAGCCTCATTATACACTCATTGTAATATATTAGCATGCTAAGTGACACATCAGCACCATGACAGTTGACGATTGTCATGACAACTGGAAAAATGCGTACAAGGACTGAAAAAAACTAACAAGGGGCCTCCATCACACCCAGAACTAGGACATGATGGTGGAAGCCTCTCATAAAAGTCCATGTGGCCCGACACAGGCTGGAGGAGTCCCTACTGCCCATCTTGGCTGATGGCTCCCCACTCTAGCACCTTTTCCTCATTTGAGTGACTCTCCCCTTCTCCCTGCTCAAGCACTTTCCTTCCATTTCCCCTTCTGAGCAATAAAGCAGCTCTTCACTTCGTCCCTCTGACCCTGCCGTGTGAAATCTTTCACAGATGGTGGCAGAACCCACACTTTGGTGGGCTTCCTAATTTAGGGGTCCCTCCACCTGCTAACAGTCCCACAAACAAAACATCAGGCGAGGTGTAGGCCAAGGATTCCATGTCCACTCTCAAACAGAGTGGCCTGGCTCCCAAAAGAGAATGTACCCAGAGTGACTCCCAGTGAGACCACAGTGGCTCACTACGCAGAAGGGAAAGAGCCCAGATAGAGGGGAGACAATCCCCAGGCTGGACAAGCTGGAGCAACTCACCTCCAGGACATGCTGAATGTGGACCGCAGCTCTGGATGTTTTCGGCTCCAAATAGCCTCATCCCAGGGCAGCCGGCATCTGCCAGGGGGAGTCTCTCCCAGTTCCCTGGAGTGAAGGGAGCTCCAACAGCTGCTGGGGTCCCAGGAAAAGGGCAGCCCCCATCTGGGGTCAACCCGCCATGAGCTCCACCACTCCTGGGCTGGCTTTGTCAAAATTATTACCAGATGCACAGTGAGGCCAAACAATACTGAGACATTGGGGTTTGGAGCAGAGAAAGCTTTACTGCAGAGCTGAGCAAGGAGAATGAGTGGCTCCTGCCCAAAAACCGCCCAAACTCCTTGAGAGGTTTCAGGTGGGCCTTTTGAGCCTTTTTAAAGGCTCAGTGGAGGGCGTGGCATCCCAGGGTCTGTGATCAGCTGCCCGCAATTCTCAGATTGGTTGACAGTGATCAGTCCTTAGATGTCAGGAGGCCTGGGGGCTCCGTGCTCATGATCATTAAGTAGTTAATTTATTCCATTTGGTGGTGGTTTTTAGATTTGGCAAACTCAGGAAACATGCCTGAGATACTATTATCCGGGCCTTTCAGAGAGGAGTTACTGCAGACGATCTGGGGGAGGGGTCTGTCCTGGGAAGGCCCCACAGGGCCCTGCTGACTTACACTTCCCCCTCACCCCAATGTTTTTGATTGTGTAACCCTGTCAGTGAGAAATAAGCAGGCACTGCAGGTGGGTGTCTATTTATTCGTACATCACATCACTATACCAGTCCACTAATATATGAACGTACATCATAAAACATGTGACAAGAAAAAGTAAAGTGCAAAGAAAAATTAAACAGTTGTAAGGATATCGCCCCACTTCGGCAGATGGTCCGGCCTCAGCCCTCAGCTGTGTGGAGCCTTGCGGTGGAGTCCACTGTTCTAGAACCCGGGTTTTCAGCCTAATGCTTTGGACGGCAAAAGCCTCCACAGACTGAGATCAGGGGGTCTGTGTGAAATGTTCCGGTGAAAGGGCCATGGATTTCATGAGAGTTCCTCAGTCTCAGTTCTCTACAGAATGAACGAAATTTGTGTGTGTGTGTGTGTGTGTGTGTGTGTGTTTACCTAATGGAGGTGAAATTTACATTAAGTTAGCCATTGTAAAATGAATAATTCAACTTACATTTGGTGCATTCAGTGTGGCACAACAATCATCTCTAAAATATTTTCATCACCCTCCCCCAAAAAACCCATACAGATTGTCAGCTGAGGGGGGCTGAAGAGGGATTTGAGGTGAGTTGCCCAACTGGAAAAATGCACGAGGAGCTGACATGGAGCAAAGTAGCCCTTTATTGCAGTACAAGCGGGTGGCGCACGCGGTGGGGGGCGGTGGCAGCGGCGGCGCTCAGCACTTTCTTCGTTTAACAAGATGGTGCCACCCGCATGGCGCACTTGTCCTGCTTTTATCTATTCTGCCCACACATTCGCGTTGTTCATTTCTTTGTTCCTAAGGCTTACAGAATGCTACTAGCGAATGCGTACCTTTACTTCTTTGTTTCTAAGGCTGACATAGCTGGCGCATGCGTGTATGCCCTCCTTACCAGGTGCAAGCTATTGTGAACTTTGGCCTGGGCCCCATGGCCTGTTCACTTAAGGCTACTGACACAGATTAAATAGTTGCTCCCCATTTCCCAACTCCCCTCAATCCTCATGGCTGGCAGCCACTAACCTCCTTCCTGTCTCTGGATTTACCTCTTCTGAATATTTCACATCAATGGGATTATACAATGGATGACTGAGTCTGAGTTTTTTAAACTCTGCATCATGTTTTCGAGGCTCAGATAGTGATTTTCACAGCAACCACGATGACAATGATTAGCAGGATGAGACAACAGCAACACACGCCTAAGCTCCTGTGCATGTGATTCTGGGCTGTGTGGAAGTAGAAATCCTCATTGGAGGGGGAGGCCTGGTCTCTTCTCTCCTCCTGGAAGGTGGTGTTTGCTGTAGGGCCCCAGAATGTGGGGAGGCTCTCAGCCTGCATGGGCTCAGAAAACCAGGTTCTGGGTAATACCTTCTTTTACTTCTTTGCATCTGCTGTGGCACTACTCCTTGGGGGAGAAGACATTTGAGACCCGAGAGTGGGTCAGCTTATTGTGGGAAGTGATGGGGACGTTGGTGATCGCACGACCAGACCTAAGCCACTCTGGGCACAAAAGCCCAGCAGACATGCCTCACAGTTGTCTCTGTCATGCGGCCCTTCAGGAGAGATTTCCTCAATCATAGGAATCTCCACCAACATAAATCCTTCCCTATAGCATGTCTTCAGAATCCGCACCAAGCTGTTCAGGATCCTTGAGATGTTTTTTTCTGTGAACTCAGGAAACTCAAAAGAAGGCTGGGAGCACTTCTGACATCTCTGGGAAAAGACTCTCATTTCACCTGGCCCCTGGATTCCCTCTCACTCCAGTGCATGTGGAAAAGGATCTGAACTTGGGTAGAAAATAGCCTCCGTTCCTCCCTTTCTCTTTTCCTCACTGCTTCTCACCCTCACCCCTCGCACCCTGATTTCTCTCTATCTGGGCATTTGTCCAGTCCTGCTACTGTTTTGGGGTAGAGTGTAAATAAGGAAAAAATCTTTAATGTCTTTGATGGTGGGCACCTTACTTTCTGTAATCTTCAATTTACAAGCATGAGCAGAACAAGAAAAGAAACAAGTGCACACGGTGAGAAATAAACAAGAATTTTCTGCAATATTACCGTCACATTCCCCACTCACCAGGCACAGGTCCATGCTGGTATTGTATCCACTCTGGCTTCAGGATGTTGGGAAGAAGGGTTTTGTCTAGTTTCAAGGTCCACATGTGCCATGGTTTCACTTCCCTAATTAATTCCTGGAACACTTGCTTCCAGACTTCTTCCATGTTCTGATCCTTCACTGCTGCCGTGGTGAGCTGGGCGCCAGTGTCTCCCAGGCTGTGGAGCAGGATGTGAAGTTTTTCACTTTAGAGAGCAAGAGTTCAGACCCACTCTCCCTTGGTGTCCCTGGACTGGGCTAGTAAACCAGGTCTTTGTCCTGAGGACAAAGGTCAGTTGATTCCGGTTCCAAGTTCAGAGAACAGTACTAGACTCCACAGGGAATCTTGAAAGAGACACAGAATGCATGGTTTCATGCAGCAGAATATAACCAAAGAAGGGTCCCGGACTCTGTCAGGAGGAGGGGATCTTGGTCAGGCTCTGCTGTTTGCCCACCTTTAACTGGGAACACACCTTATTACCTCTGAAGCCCTGTAAATGGTGGAGACAGGCTGCAGTTGCCCTTTCTAGTTCTAACCTTTGAAAATCGTTATCCATTGGGCTGCTGTGCCCACGATGTGGAAGGAGAGATGCAAAGACGAACACAGTCCATCCTGGGACCTCACCTGAATTTCTGCATCGTCGCTCTGGCACTTGACTCCTTTGCTTGCACCAAGTCTCTGCGGAACGGTGTTTCACAGACACTAAGCTGTTCAAGGCGATGCCCACGCCCACTCTCCCACCCATTAGAAACCAAAGCTGTTGCAGTCCCTGTGCCCTGGAGATGAGGCTACTAGGTCCCCATGTGGGTGGGAGGCCATGGCCACACCCAGAGGTGCTTCATCATCCCCTACTTCCTCCAGGAAAGGCTTGGGAAGGAGGGAGGAGAGTGGAGGGGCTGACTCCGTGGTGGGTGCTGAAGCAGGCGACAGCCCAGGCCAGGTGGGCAAGATTCTGAGTGTCTGCATCACACAGCCCCGTGCACAGACAGTCTGGCGCTGACCTGCGTTGCTGACCATCTTCCAGGAGGAAAGCCCTGCCCTCAGCGAGTCCTCCAGGCTGGCAGCCTCTGGCTTAGCTCAGGCCTGCATCACAGCCTCTGTCCTGGCCTCCCAGGCCCCGCGACGCTGAGCCACTCCCCACACTGCGGCTGCAGGTCTCTCCAGAGGCGGAAACTCCCACCTACACAGTGCTGTAGCAGGGCATTCGGATCCCTCGCAGCCCAGCCCTGCCTTCCCACCAGCCTCAGCTCTGCCAAGCTTATCCTCCCCCGAGTCCATACCCACCACTCCACCCTAAGCCCCAGCCCTTTACTCCGAGCCGTCCTCTGACAACTCCTGCCCACCCAGCCCTCCTGCCTTGTACTCAAGTCCATCCCACCCAGAGCACCTGCCTTCCCTCCCTCCCACGGCTCCTGCTCACCTTCAAGTTCAAGGGCCGCACAGTGCCTGCTCCATCGTCCACCTCCTGGTCCTGCCTGGTGTTAACTGAAGAAATTCCTGCTGGAGGAAGAAACCTCTGGAAGGGAGAATGGCCTCCTCCCTTTCCCCCTACAGCTGAACAAATGCAGGTGCTCTTCTGAATCATAAAGCTAGATCAGATAAGGTAGTGACCAGAGAATATTTAAACAGAATCTGTCCGACTTTCTAGTTGGTGTGAAATCTTGTGTGAAAATGTCATATCCAGTTCTGTTTCATTAAAACCACCTTTGAAAATAATTGTGAAAGGAGAGCTTGAAAGATACCCAGATAGTGTTTTGGGGTCATGTAAAGATTACCTTTAGCCTCTTACTCTAGTGAGAATATTCGAATTGAAAAACTCTGTGCTCTTAAATGATACACACATTTGAATACAAGTATTTAAGAGTGTGAGGGAGTTTGTCACATTTAGATTAACACAGGCTAAATGTCTTCTCTCTAACCATCATGAGTGACATCATTTACCTGGTTTTCCAGAGAATTCTGGGTTTCTGGGGTGGGGGTGGGGGTGCCAAGGTCTGCGAGACCCCGAGGGACTGCAGATAGCTGGCTATTCCATTCGCGAATCCCTGGGACGCTGCCAGTCCCAGTCCCAGAAGCTCTCATGGAGTTGGTCTGGGCATCAGCGTTTCTAAAAAGCTCCCGCCAAGTGGTTCTTATGTTCAGTTATGGTGGTGAAAACACAAGGAGGTGAAAGGGAAGGAAATCTGGAGAGATCATGGCCAGTAATCAGCCAAGACTTGGGAGACTGACTCACAGCCAGAGGTGTCCCTCCCTTCCGCAACGCAGTGGCAGAAGCAGCAAGCCTTACAGTCGGCTTTGGGGGGAACCAGTCCTAGGGCTGCCTTGTGGCCTCCACCTTCTGGTCAGACACCGGCAGTCTGAGAAGTGGGCTGCAGGAGGAAAGAGAAGGGACAGAAGAGGGAGAGAGGGAGGAAGAGGCGGGGAGGAAAAGGAAAGGAGTGGGGGGAGGGGTGGCCCTGGCAGCGTTTGGCAACCTCACAGCCACCCCCTCCCCGCCCTCCCCGCTGCTACACCAGAGTTCAGCTCCTACTAGAGTGGGTCCAACCTGGGCAGTCTGAGGCTGCTCTCCTCACCCTCCGATTTTGTTTGTCTGTATTACTTCGCTTAAATCATAAATTAACTGGATTTGGGGAGCCCTCTTAATCAATTTTTCTCTTTCAAATTCTCTTTTTGTGTTCCTGCCACCTACTATCAACTTCTGGACAGATTGGGAGAAGATTTATAAAGGGAGCGAGGTTACAGGGGAGAGAGTCTGGACTGGAAGGGCGGGGTCTTTGGTCTGGGGCTCTGACCCACTGTATGACAGTAGACAAGTCACTTCAGGCTTTTTGAAGATGAAATGTGCCTTTTTGTGGAAGGATGCTCTGCGTGCCTGGTGCAGAGAAGGGCCTTTAAGCCCACGTTGGTGTCTCGTCTGGTAAGCCTGACAAAAGCAATTTCCAGGACTTCATTTGGAACATCCTAAACTCTCACAGGGACCTATGCACTCCTGAAGTGGAAATTTACATGCATAAATAAGAGCTTGCATCACTGGCCAGGGCATGGCAGGGTTCTGTCTCCCCCTTGCGGGAACCAGCTAGAGCACACTCATCTCAGCTTCTTAACCCAGAGGCCATTCTCTTTTGTACTGGGTCAGGGCTCCGCCTGGATACTCCTTGACACTCTTGCTGAACACTGGCTGGGCTGTGGGTCAGCTGCTCGGAGGAGGCCATCTCTGAAAGCCTGGGACATGCACAGAGTTGGGAAAGTTTGAAGCGCCTGGTGCCCATGCTCCAAGCTGAGATGGAACCTGACAACACTGCCTTCTTGCTTCAGCTCTCATACTGTAAACAAGTGTCCTTTTCATGGTCTATTTGTGTCACGTTTTTTGAATTTTTGTGCTTTTTGTTGGTGATTTTGTCATTTAAAGTGGCCTGGAGGTGTCATGCTGAAGTGCTGTCTCGCGCTTGAGAAGGCTGCGATGAGCCCTATGGAGAGGACACATGTGCCCTGCGATGCACCCTGTGGAGAGGACACATGTGCCTGATGAGCTTCATTCAGACGCGAGTCACCGTGCTGGCAACTTGATTCTGGAACTCACAGGGAATACATTTTCATTGTTCTAAGCCACCCAGCTTGTGGTAGTATGTGAGGAAATGAATACAGGGGTTGGGGGTTGTCAGGGTGTTTAAACTCTCCTGGCTCTCCCAGCGGTCCTGAGGGCTGGGGCCACCTGCCTGCTTTTCCAACAGCTATAAGGGGCGGGGAACAACTCCAGCATATGGTCCATTCCTTTCTTTCCCTACCTACTCCCAATTCGTTATTTGTTGGAATGATGAGAAAAGACCCTCGTTATTTGTTGGCTGGACAATTTTGATAGCCCCTTAACTCATATTCTTCCCTTAGTGTTCTCTCTCAAAATTCAGCCTTTACAGAGCTGCCATAGAACTCTTTTAAAAATCCAGATGCCATCCCCTGGCAGGGCCTCCTCACTCTTCCTTGAACACGATCAGCTGGAGCACAGCTCACTCCATTAAGTTAGTTCTTCCTAAGTTGCCCCTCAAATGTCACCTCAGTAGGGAGGGAGCCCTTCCTTAATCTCCCCAGATTGAATACCAGCCCCTCCTCCCCTCCCACACCTTCTTTCCCTCTCACCATTCTGTTTGCCCTTTTTGTTTGTTTGTTTTTAAATCATGTCCTGACACAGCCTGAGTTTCTAGGAAATGACCAGTCTGAAATAGGAGGGGAGGAAATTTTTATTCACCGGAACAGTGCCTGGGTGCTCAATATTTCCTTGAATGAATATTGAATGAGTTCTGTCCGGATTCTGTCACTGACTTTCTATAAAACTATCCCAATTTGGAGTCTGGGGATGGGGCTGGAGGTGAAGGGGGTTGGGGATGGTCCTACAGTGGCTCTTATCACAGTTTTTAGAGGGCAATTATCCACGGTTTCTGGATCTATTTTTTCTCTGGGGGATCATTTCCATTTCCTCTCTGATAATTTGCCTCTTTTTCTGTTGGGTCTTGCTGGGACCTGTCATCATCCCCAATCCCCAAATAACTCCCTCTTTCAGAGCCCCAACTTTACTAAGAGCCTTTGGGTCAAGACAGGCCTCTTTTCTCTTTCAAATCTGGCCTCCTTAGCCTCTAGGATTTAATTCCCCAAGGAAATTGCTTTTTTTAATTTTTATTTTTTGGGTGGATAGGTTATTAGGTTTATTTATTTATTTATTCATTTATTTATTTTAATGGAGGTACTAGGGATTGAACTCAGGACCTCATGTCTGCTAAGCATGTGTTCTACCACTGAGCTATACCTTCTTGGAAATTGCTGTTTAAGTCAAATTTAATACAAACATCTTCCACTATTTTTCTTTCATTTTACACTATCCCTGTCCTGTGCTGAATGCAAGAGAGAGAAAACAACAAACAAATAAACAAAAAACCACTTTATAAACCAATTTAGCTCCTCCTTGAGACTGAGAAAACTGTAATAAGTCTCCTAATCAGTAATTCCTAACAGCAGAATTTTCCATCTTTGGGACTTTTAAAATTCCATTTGAACCTCTATTTTTATTAACATTCAACTGAGAATTTTTTTACTTCTCATTAAGACGACTTGCTCTCTATACTATAAACGTTCCCATTACTAACCATCTGTTTATTGTTTGAAATTCACCAACCCTTTGAGTTAAAATTCAGAGCCTGGACCAGGCTTATGTAATGAACAATCCAGAATGAATGTGAAACTCAGGGACTGGCCACAGGAATCCCTTCCTCGGCACAGGAGTTGAGGCAGCTCAGACAGTGGCACCTGCCAACTTCTGGATGGGATGTACTGGCTAGAGTGATGCTCAGGAGTGCTCGGAGGCCTGAGGTACCCGACAGCAGAGTTCCCAGCCTGCTCTGGCCATGAAAATGGGGGACTCCCAGACTGGGCGGTGGCCCTCACTGCTCAGTTCCTTTATCCTCTCTTGGGGCATTTTTATTTATGTTTTGAGGTGGGATTTTTTTCATAATTCTGTTGTTAATGGTGTTTTAAAAAGTGAAAACATAAATGACCATTATTTTAAAATAAATGTTATTATTAAAACATTTAACACAGCCCCCGCTTCTGTTAAAGTAATTAGACAATTAGTCCATCAGACTGAGGTGACTCCACTGCCTGGGTAGCTTTTGTAAGCACACAGAAAACTAAGCCAGAATTAATGCACTGGAATCCGAGAAAATGAAACTTAAGAACAACCTGTCCCAAACAGCCAACTGTGCTTTCCCAATTTAGGCAACCACGTCAGCTAGAGACAATCAAACAATTTCCTTGCTTGGCTGCCATGTCTTCTCTAAAAAGCCTCTCCCGCAGTTCCTGCCGGTGGAGCACACCCAGCCACTTTCACTCTGGTGCTGCCTGATTCCAGCTGGTATGTGCTCAAAGAAATGCTTGAAAAATTTGAATGTGCCTCAGTTTATCTTTTAACATTTCTTTTTGTATGTGAGATTCATCCGTGTGGTGCTGTGCTACAGTGATTTATTGATTCCCAATCTTCTATATTCCACTGAATGAAAATTGCAATATATTTATCTACACCACTGTGGTTGTCTGTGGGGGTTGTTCCAGTGTCTGCTTGTTATGAATAACAGGCTCTGCATATTCTTAACACATGTCTTCTTGTGCACCTTTATATGCCTTTTCGTTGAGTCCATAACCAAGAGTGGAAATGCCTAGTCAGAGGGTATGCACGTGCTAGCCGTCAGTAGATAAGCCAGTTTTTCAAAGTTTCTGAGTGTTGCAACTGCTCCAATCCTCACCAACACATGGTATTGTCATTCTTTTAAAATTTAGCCTTTCTGGTGGGCACATGGAGATAACACTATGATTTCTACGATTTAAATTTATGTTTCCCTGATTATTGTTAAAGTTGAGTACTTTTTCATAATGTTGATTGACCATTTGGATATTCTCTATTTGTGAAGTATTTGGGTCAAGTCTTTTCCTCACTTAAAAAATTAAGCTGTTTATCTTTTCTTTATTGGTTTGTTGGAATTTTAAAAATATGTTTTCTATATTGGCTCCTTTTCAGTTACATGTGTCAGATGTATGCCTCACCTTTCTACTTTGGGGATCTTTATAGCAATAAATGAAAATAAAATAAAATACTTATTACCTAAAATAAATAAAATAAAACCTAGAAGAAATGGATAGCTTCCTAAAATCATAGAACATTAAAATGGAACATTAAACCTTTCGCTGAGTGTTCCCATAATTATTAAAGAAAACTATAAAAACTAGGTGTAGGTTATATGATCTAGGTTTGTGCTCT